GAATACTGTACAAATATTCCCACGTCTTATCAAATGTTTATGAACTATGTTGAAGATTTTCGAAGTGTCTTACTTAGGTAGAGAGATAAGTGGAACACCTGTGTATTTCTTTAGACTTCCTTGTTTATCTTTATTACTTCAGGGTGCTTAATGTTATCACTGTGTTAAAGAGATTGTCGAAAAGTTATTAGATTGGACACCTACATATGTGGAGCATGTTTCCCCAAAAGGCCTAGCGAACAATTTGAGTCTGTTTTGTATCAGGAGAAGGATTGTAAAAATATGAAAGACGATACATTGGGAAAAATTATGTTTTCTTAACACACACCCTGAGATTCCTGTAAGTCTTACAAAAATGCCACATTTTAGGTTTGAAGTTGTACTTCATATGAGTTTAACAAAATTTTTCTTCAAAACATAATTTTAGAAGAATGGCGCCAAAAACAAAAATATTTTCGTTGAAATTGGACCATAAGTTACAAAAGAAAAGACTTTTTTATATTTCCATTAAATTTTAAGAAAATACTTTACACCAAATTTTACTTAAAGTCTTTGAATAAACTATGTATAGAGTTATATTATTTTTTTTAATTACATTCGAAATGTATATATTATAAGATGAAATTGTATGTTTACTGTTACTGTTATATTATGCGTTTCTAATCTATGTCAAAATCTCAATTTAATGTTTTGGGAAGAGTGTCAGAGGAAGAAATATTTAAAATCGCATTTTATTATTAGTCCATTATTGTTAGCCCTACCTAGTATCCCAAGTGCAATAGAAAACCAGTAAAGAAAGTTCTAAAGTAGGGCGCGGTCGACTTTATGATACCCTACACCACTTTGCTAATTTAGTAGAGCTCCACATAACAATTAAAAGATTTTATAGGAGAATTTAACCATACATGCTATGATTATAATTGTAATTTAAAGTTCAAAGGACTAAATATGCCGAAACATTTGTATCTTTTAAATTCCGACTTGTATTGCCCATTTGGTGCACAATTAATTTGAAATTGGATAAAAATACATATGGGAGCTATATCAAAATCGGAACCGATCTCGATAAAATTTGGCAATGATATTTCTGAGCTGCATTTGATATATTTCCCCAAATATTGTTGTTGCATAGTGCATATTACGGCTGCGGAGGACAAAAATAACAAATCGGATGAACTATATATATGGGAGCTATAGCTATATCTGAACCGATTTCGATAAAATTTGGCATACTTATTTTCAGGCCTAATTTGTATGTTGTATGTGCAAAATTCCATACTATTCGGGCTGATATTGCACGTTTGGTGCACAATAAAAGGCAAATCGGACGAAGATATATATGGGAGCTATATCTAAATTTTGACCAATTATCTACAATTTCAATAGGGTTTGTCCTTGGGCCAAACAAATGATTTGTGCAAAATTTCATCTGGATTGGGCGATAAATGCGAACTGTACTTTGTTTACAAAAATACATGGACAGACGGACAGATCATCAAAAGGAACTATGGGTCTATCTCGTTTCCTTTTGCCTGTTACAAACAAATGCACAAAGACATAATACCCCGACCACCTTGTGGTGTAGGGTATAAAAACATTTACAGGGTTGCCCATATTCAACGGACCCATTTTTTTTAAATCAAAGAAAAAAATAAAAATTTGGCGGTTGGTAATGTTAATCATTTAATTTGTTCCAAGTAGATTTGTTTACATCAATTTTTGAATATGATATCTCTCAAATGGCCGCCTCTGGCGTTGATGACCTATTGTGCCCTTATGCGAATTGTGTGCGGTGGAGCGCCGTCTTATTGAAACCAGAACTGCCTCATACGCTTTCGACGAATAATTGGCATCACAAAATTGGTCATCATGTCGCGATAACGCTCCTGATTGATGGTAACAGCATGGTCATTTTCATTTTGGAAGAAAAACGGCCCAATGATCGTTTTCGCACTAACGCCGCACCAAACTGTGACTTTTTCGTCATGAAGAGGCACTTCTTGAATCTCCTGTGGATCTTCAGTGGCGTAAAAACGGCAATTTTGCTTATTTACGGTCCCATTCAATGTGAAATGGGCTTCATCGGACATGATAATTTTGTTCCAAGATTGCTCGTCATCTTCGGCCATTTCGATGACTCTTTGGGCCCATTCCAATCGACGAGGCTTGTCCGCAGGCAACATTCTTTGCGTCAATTGAATTTTGTACGGGAACAAATGCAAATCAATGCGAATAATCCGTTGTAAAGTCGACCGAGCCATGTCCAACTGCTGAGAACGGCGTTTTTGGGATGTTCTTGGGGACCTCTCAACACTGGCTCGTACGGCAGCGATATTCTCGGCCGATCGCCTTGGTCGACTTTTATATGGCCTCTTCGGATTAGAAAGAGCCTTACCAGTCGAAAATTTTTCGTATAAACACCTAATGGTGTTCTTAGAAGGCGCACTTCTCACATTTTTTAATGTTTTAAAAGCACGTTGAATTTTCACAATTGACTTCTTCTGTTGAATGTAAATTTCAACTATTTCAGAGCGCTCGCGTGGCGTGTATAGGTTCTGGTATTGGTAAAAATCTGCTTGGACTGACACTCTGTCAAAAGTTATGGCGTTGCCAGATGGGTCCGTCGAATATGGGCAACCCTGTATATTGAAACAAGTAAGCAAAGTCATGCGGTACCGACCATGTGATACCCTACAACACTACAATATGTTTGAAGTATCCTTATATACAAATCCATTTTGGAAGATTTCATTTTTGAAATAATGTCATAGTGCCCTATCCAGATGTTACTCTTAGGTTTTTGACCCGAAGAATTTGGCCAATATTTACGCAATCCGTTATGTTGTACTCAAAACAGTTTCACGCGAAATGCTAGATTTCTTCCCTGTCCTTAACTCTCTCCTGATGCGAAATTCCGAGTCAATTAGTTTAGCGAACACAGAATTAGAAAAATTAAAATTTTTTAGTCCATTTGAATCCCTAAATGTACATCTTAACAACAATAGGCTTTAATTCTAACCCTGACGCTACCCCATGCAATTTCGTAAGGATCGGACGATAATTGCGACATGCATATAATACCCTCAAAGCGTAGTGTTGAGGTGGGTAAAAATTTCGAAAATTTTCAATTCAAAATTGTGTGTCAAATTGAAAAAATCAGCAAAGGATATTCACTCATTTTTTGGTATATTTTTCCGCGATTTCCTTAGATTTTATTCTTTTCTGGCCAGGGACCATTCCAAATTGATGGGAATTGTGAAAATCGGCCCAGCGGTTCCGGACTTATAAGCAGAATAAATAAGATCTATTTATTTTACATATATATATTATTCCTATTTTACAATATATCCGATTTCTTAGCTTTCAGCATCACTTTAATGGTCAGGAGTGACCTTTTAATGTATTCGTGATTTGGTTGGGGTTACAAATATTGGCGGTTAAGTGGAAATTTTCCTATTTTCTTACATAAAAGTAAGGGTCTATTTTACCCGCTAAATATTGTCCAAATTGGTAGGCTTCTGCCCAGTCCTAAACTCCAACTCCATGTAAATTTCCGCGTCGATTGGTTCATAACTGTGGCCTATAGAGCTACTGCAAAATCCGACATTTTTCAAGTATTTGGTCCATTTCAACCCTTAAATATTTTGCAATCATCTCCAAAAGCAATAGGGTTCTATTCTAACCCCAACCCCACCTCCATTTTCACTTTCGTGAGGATCGGGTCATAATTGCGACCTGTAGCTTGACTACAAATTAACATGGACAGACGGATAGACGGACGGACGAACATACATAACTAGATCGACTCAGCTCGCCGATATAGGAAGATCCATATATTCTTTCCCAAGTGGGAAACCCAATATTTCGTAGTGTTACATAATTTTTGACCCAATCAAACTTATAATACCCTCAAACACATAGTGTAAAATTCTAAGTCAATTTAGCGATGTCCGTCTGTCTGTCCGTCCGTCCGTCTGTCTGTCTGTCCGTCTGTCTGTTATAATCACGCTATCTTTCGAACGAATAGAGATAGAAGGCTAAAATTTTGAACATATGTTTATTTTTCCAGTAGGCAGGTTAAGTTCGTAAATGGGCGACATTATTCACCGAAATTGTTTCAAATTTGCTATTTGAAGTTCGAAAGGGATACTACAGCCTAATACAGAAAATTGTCTGTGCAGGTCCACGTCTTCATATAGCCCCCACATAACAATACCTCCCGATATTCGGTATTTTGATAATTTTAGCGACATTATTCACCGGAATTGTTTCAAATTACGTTTTTAGAATTCGTAATGGTATCTACAGTCTGTGACAGAAAATTGTCTATGCAGGTCCAGGTTTTCGTTTAGGCCCCATATATCAGTACCTCCCTAAATTCGGTATTTTGACGTGTTTAGGTACAATACCCACTGAAATTGTTTGAGATGTCGTATTTGAAGTTCGTAATGGATGCTACATCCTATGCCAGAAAATTGTCTATGCAGGCCCAGGTCTTCGTTTAGGTCCCATATATCAGTACCTCCCTAAATTCGGTATTTTGACGTGTTTAGGTACAATACCTGCTGAAATTGTTTGAGATGTCGAATTTGAAGATCGTAATAGATGCTACAGCCTATGACAGAAAATTGTCTTTGCAGGTCCAGGTCTTCGTATAGCTCCGATATAACGATATCTCCCTATATATGGTATTTTAATAATTTTAGCTATATTATTCACCGTTTATTTCAAGTTTCGAATTTGAATATGGTAACGGCTTATGACAAACAGTGCCCATGTAGAACCGAATGTAACGGCTATATTCGGCATTTTAACAGAATTTATAACAGATTATTTTTTGAAAAATTCCAAATTCGTTCCAAATGGTGGAGAGTATTCAAAGTTCGACCCGGCCGAACTTACTGCTCTTTAACTTGTTCTCTATTTCATTTTTCGTAAAATTTAATATAAAATGCAAAAAATTTTAATTAATATATTTTTTATTTAAGAAAATAATTAAAGTAATAACAAAACATCAACCAAAAATATAAATCAGTACCATTTATTGACATCATATTTTTCGGAGGTAGAGCACAAATTTGGATATTGAGAATTTTTCCCGGTCGTACATGATGCAGCTGCTGAGCTACAGTTGGCATAGATGGGGAATCCAACCATATTTGTTGTGGCATAATTACAGGTAATTGAGAAAGTTTCCGTGGGAGAGTAGGGTGACTCGTAGGTGACAGCAGCGCAACCCACACGTATATTACGATCGGCCAACATGACTGTGGCATGACCAATTGTCCTGGAAATTCAATAATTTTTATTAATTTTGTAAAATTACACGACCTGGAGAAATCAACTTACGGTCCATTATACCCAACTGGGTATGAATTAATGTAGCTCATTTGAACATCTTTCACTTCATTGTACCACATATCGAAGGCCTTCTGCAAGAGGTCGTTATAATTTGCCGAACCACGATAAGTTCTCCAAGCCAGATTTTGACCAGCATATTTAAAGCTTTCAGTATTACGACACTGGTCATGAAACATTTGACACTGGCGTGCATTGTAGCCGGCGATTCGAGCTAATTCATCATCCCATTCCATGGTGGCCATACGACAGGCAGGCTGCAAGCCATTGACACCGCCACCAGCAACTAAATTACGTTTCTCATTGTGAGCCCGAACAATGGTGGCTTTAAAAGCTTCATCTATCGGCACTTCCGCCGCATTTCTTGGACAAGAAGGACCAAAGCTCTAAAGGATAAATCATTTCAATATTATAATTATATAAAATGAGATCAGCATTGAATGACTTACCTCGCTACCACAGGCCACATGAGTTACTCCCTTATTGCACAAAGATGCTGAACAATAATCCGTAGCTATGGCAAAGCCAAAGAGCGTTGTAAGCGAGAAAATTACAAGAAACTGATTCATTATTCGTCTGATGGAGATTCAATTCATCTGATATCGTATTGTTAGAATTTGTCGTATTATATAGAATTAAATAAAAAATATATTTGTTATAGGCAATCGTGAATAAAGCGGAAGTCTATGTAATGTAAATATCCATGAACTTGTAACGTTCGCTTTGACAGGTGCCATTCCACTGTTTGCTCAGCCAGTGTTTTCTCAGCCAGTGTTTATTTGCTATCATAGACTCCAAATGCTTCATGACTAAAAAGTTTGTTATTTAGACTGTTAGGTATTTGTTTTCAAAGAACTAATTCAGGGAGATAACATGGAATTATTGACATCACATAAAAATTAGAAAATATTTACTTGTTAAACGATATCTATATCTTCCTGTATCCCACAACCTAAAAATGTTCAAAAATATAAAAAAAAGAAAATAAATGTCATATAAAGCGTAGGGAAGTGTCCCATCTGGTTGAAACTTTTCAAATCGTAAAATTTAATATTTCCACTCAAAAAAGCTAAAATTTTGCGAAATACTATTTTACAAATATTTAGAATTATCACACAATTTTCATCAAAATTCACAATTAATTAACAGTTAATGTAAAAGTATCCCTTATAAAATTCGAAACATTGAAAATATTAAACAAAACTTTACACAATGTAATATTAGAGTGAATATGTAATACATCTGTATCACGGAGAAGGGAATATTGATTTCTTTTCAAAACTGGGACAGAGTCGGTCTTCTTCTTTCTTCTGTTACTTCCCCCTCAAATATTGTTGCAATGGAAGCAACCAACATAGTTCACACTTGTCACAGAGTCAAAACGATCAAACATTTTTCAAAAAAAAACCAGTAAAGAAAGTCTTAAAGTCGGGCGGGGCCGACTTTATGATACCCTACACCACTTTGCTAATTTAGTATAGCTCCACATAACAATTGAAAGTTTTTATGGTAGAATTCAATCATACACGCTATGATTATAATTATAATTTAAAGTCGAAGGACTAAAAATGCCGAACCATTTGTATCTTTTAAATTCGGAATTGTATTGCCCATTTGGTGCACACTTAACTTGAAATCGGATAAAGATATATATGGGAGCTATATCCAAATCTGAACCGATCTCGATAAAATTTAGCAAATGTATTTTTGAGCTATATTTGATATATTACCTCAAATATTGTTGTTGCAGAGTGCATATTACGGCAGCGGTGGACAAAAATAACAAATCGGATGAACAATATATATGGGAGCTATAGCTATATCTGAACCGATTTCGATCAAATTTTGCATACATATTTTCAGGCCTAATTTGGGTGTATATGCAAAATTCCATACAATTCGGGCTGATATTACACGTTTGGTGCACAATAAAAGACAAATCGGACGAAGATATATATGGGAGCTATATCTAAATTTTGAGCGATTATCTCCAATTTCAATAGGGTTCGTCCTTGGGCCAAACAAATGATCTGTGCAAAATTTCATCTGGATCGGACAATAAATGCGACCTGTACTTTGTTTACAAAAATACGGACGGACGGACAGACGGACGGACGGACATGCATAAATCGACTCAGAATGTGATTCTATGCAGATCATCAAAAGGAACTATGGGTCTATATCATTTCCTTTTGCCTGTTACAAACAAATGCACAAAGACATAATACCCTGACCACCTTGTGGTGTAGGGTATAAAAAGGAAAAAAAGTTTCTTATTGAACAACGGGATTACCCGATATAGTTCCAACTTGGCATATCGTGCTACTTATTTATTAGACAAAGGTTATTTTCTATAACGCTCAAAAAAAAGCTTGCAAAATAAGTGAACCCAATATAGTTTAAACTTGGTACATCGGAATAAAAAAGACTTTGGTCCTTGTACCTCCCCCACAAGATTTTTTTTCATTTTTATACCCTACAACACTATGTGTTGGGGGTATTATAAGTTTGATTGGGCCAAAAATTATGTAACACCTCGAAATATTGGTTTCCCACATAGGAAAGTATATATGGATCTTACTAGCTCGCCGAGCTGAGTCGATATAGCTATGTATTTCCGTCCGTCCGTCTGTCCGTCTGTCCATGTTAATTTGTAATCACGCTACAGGTCGCAATTATGGCCCGATCCTAACGAAATTTTGCACGAAGGTGGGGTTAGGGTCAGAATAGAAGCCTATTTCTTTTGGAGATGATCGCCAAATGTTTAGGGGTTGAAATGGACCAAATACTGAAAAAATGTCGGATTTTGCAGTAGCTATACAGGTCGCAATTATAGACCAATCGACGCGGAATTTCGTATGTAGCTAGAGTTTAGGGCGGGGAAGAAGTCTACCAATTTGGGTGGTCATCGGATAATATTTAGCGGGTAAAATAGACCATATCTTTTGTGTTGAAAAAATTCAAAAATTTTCATTAAACCGCGAATATTTTAAATCCCGGCGAAATCACAAAGCCATGTCAAGGTTACTTCTGATCTTTACATTGATGTTAACATCCAACAAATCGGATATATAGTAAAATATGTGCGATATATATGTCTATCAAAGAAGATATGCTTGAAAGATATCTTATGTGTCGAGAACGGCTGAACTGATTTCGATAGTTCTCATTAATTCAGAATGGCCTCTTGGCAGGAAAGAAAAAACGTCTAAAAAAATTGCATAAAAATATCTCTCTAAAGATGAAAATATTGATTTTGTAATATTTTCTCATATTTTTTCAATTTTGTCATATTTTTGGCATATTTTCATTTTGAATTAAACATTTGGTAATATTTCTACAGCTAACAAAACTAAGTAGTTAGGATATCAGGATATCATATACAGATCGCATTTATGGCCCGATCCTTATGAAATTTTGCATGGGGATAAGATGAGGGTCAGAATAGAATCATACTCTTTTTGGAGATAATCGCCATATATTTAGGGGTTGAAATGGACAAAAAAACTGCAAAATTGTCAGCAAGTCGTAATTATCGCCCGATCCTCACGCGCATTTGAATGGAGGTTACCGGACATTGCAAAAGCCAAATAGTTTTGGATGGCCATCCAAAAATATTCAATGTGTGAAATAGTTTGCAAACTTTTGTAGACAAAATACGAAAATATCCATTCCAGTGACTTTTTGGAGAATTCACAAATACAGGAAAGACGCACTTCTGACTATTTCGTTAAGGCTGATTTCGTTGCAGAATATAGTCAAATGTCTGTATCTCATATAGATGCGTTTTAGTCAAAAACCAATAATAAATGTTAATCTTTTGCCACTTCTGAGAGATTATAGGTCTTTGGGAAATATTGGTTCCAGATCTAGGAAGACCATTTACGTGCAACATCTACCAATAAATTGGAAATGAGCAAATTAGTTTAAGTTGCTATTATTCGAAAATTAGAGAACGAAACCTGATGGTTTTCTTTTATTATTTGTCACAATATCTTGTGGAATTCTTTCGAGTATCTCGCCTATATAAACTGTATCATTTATTATAGTGTTGTAGGGTATTCAACGGTCGGCCCCGCTCGACTGTAGTCTTTGCTTACTTGTTCAATAACTGATATCGAGTACGATTTTCTTCCAAATATCCCACAACTGTCAAAAAATTTCGTCATAACCATATCTCATATAAGACGAATCGAACAAAAAGAAACAAGTTTTGAATAAAAACTACTTTGTTTCCGATTTCCTTCGAAATTCCAATATCCCAATTACAAAGTTTTAGATATCGCATGAATATCATAATTTTCATAAAATACGAAATTAATATCCAGCTCTCTTTTCAAAGTTTTCATATTGCTAGGATTGTATTAAAATTACATCTAATGTAAAGTTGGAAAATGAGGGCCAACATTTGGAAAATCTTCCGAAATGGGTATTCAAATAGTCAAATGCTAAAGGCATATATCCGTCGAAACACCGACTGAAATTTTACAACTTCTTCAAATTTTCCGATTGTGTTAAAATTCACGAGTATTGTTGATACAGCTCCCATAAATATCTTGTGCATATCGGTCCAATCAACCAAATCTGAACCGATCTCGATACTCGTTACTCGCGGAATAATGTTTAATATGAAAGCAAAATGTAATTTTTAAAATTTATTAATTTTTTTCCGGTACCTCCTATACAAACGTCAAAATTTTAAAAAATAATATATATGTATATTAAGCGAACCGAGTCCACGACTTCGTCTGGGCCGAACTTTGAATAACATCCACCAAATATGGCAATTTCAAAAAAAAAAATCCGTTAAATTTCTGTTAAAATCTGAATAATACCGAATATAGCCGTATATTAGGATCCATACGACGACGTGGACATGCATAGGCAACATTCGTAATAAGCTGTTACAATATTCAAATGCGAAACTTGAAAAAGAATCTGTTTATAATGTTGCTAAAATCATAAAAATACCGAATATAGGGAGGTACCATAGGGGTTATAAAACGTGGACCTGCACAGACAATTTTCTGGCATAGGCTGTAGTATCCAATCCGAACTTCAAATACAAAATTTGATATAATTCCGGTAAATAATGTCGCTAAAACATTAAAATGCCGAATATCGGGGGTACCGTTATATGGGGACTATATAAAGACGTGGACCCGCACAGACAATTTACTGTCATAGGCTGTAGTATCCATTACGAACTTCAAATGCAAAATTTGAAACAATTCCGTCAAATTATGTCGCTAAAATCATCAAAATACCGAATATCGGGGGGTACCGTTATATGGGTGCTATACGAAGACGTGGATATACATGGCTCATTTTCTGTCTTAGTATGCAGTATCAATTTCGAACCTCAAATACCGCTAAATAATGTCGCTAAAATCATCAAAATACCGAATATCGGGATGCACTGTTATATGGGGGCAATACCAAAACGTGGACCTACATGGCCCATTTTCAATACCAAAAGTCCTGCAGATATAATACGCATTTGAGTTAAATTTTATCAACCTACTTCATTTCGTTCGGAAGCTAGAGTGATTTTCACAGACGTATAGACGAGCGGACATTGCTAAATCGACATATGCTTATGGTGATCAAGAATAAATATACTTCGTGGGGTCTAAAATGTATATTTCGAGGTGTTACAAACAGAATGACAAACTTAATATACACTCCATACTATGGTGGAGAAAAAAATTTGTCAAACACTTTAAGACCAAAAATCGTGAATTTTTACATATATCGTTCTGCATCTTCCCATGTCTGTATTATTATTCAATAATGAATATAAATTGTGGAGTTCTTTTAAATGAAAACATTGAATTTTTAAGAATAAATTTTATAAAGTCTTCCGGAAAATTCATTGATGTTTTAAGAAAGTTTTTCCAGGACCACCGAACTAAGTAAAAATGCTTTCTTGTTTAAAAATATACTTGCATATTCTTGCACATTCTTTCCGAATAAAAATGTTTGACTTTTAAAGAAAAAATGTCCGCCAAGTGAAAAGATTGTTTGAAGTTTATTTTTAAAATTTCTTGGCCAAAACTGTGAATTTCAAACAATTCTTTACAACATTGAGTTATTTTTTTTAAGAAAAACTGTTTATAAATTCGTTCAAAAATTGCGGATTTTTACAATATTTTCGACAACTTCATTACAAAAATCTTGGTATTTTTAAAAAAAAATTTTAATAGCTTCGTTCAAAAATCGAAAATTTATAAAAAATCTCGGAGATTACTCAAGACATACTTGTTGCACGAGCATTGTTATTGAGAAATTAAGCTCTCTCTGCTTTAAGTTCTCTCTGGCAAAAAGGAGTGGATTTTATAAATAAAACACCGGAATTATCTTTAAGTTTTGATATTCATTTCACTTTGTTGTTGTTGTTGTTGTTTATTGGTAAATAACTTAAATTCATGAATAATAATTACATATTTTTAATAGTTGACCATTACTGGAGATATATTATTTATTTAGGTATGGGTGTGTGTTTTTGTGTTGCTGTATGCCTGTATATTTAATTTTTATTATTTTTTTTTTTTTTTGTATATATAAGTGATCGGTTAATCTACATTTATATGTATAAGTATATTAATATTAATTTATATATATATTATTTTTTCAGTTTTTTCTTTTTAAGTTTGATGTCACATTTTATAATAGAAAAACTTAAAAATAAAGTCGTTACAAAAAATTATATTTTAAAAAAATAGATTTTTTTTTATAAAAAAACAACTTAATCGGCAAATTTATAAGACTTTACAGACATTATATGTTTATAATTACTGTGTGATATTTACACCAAACAAAAAAATGAGAAATTATTTTTTGTTATTTTATATTAATTTCTAGTAATTGTGCATGACAAAAATTTAATGAAAAAAAAAAATTTTTCTGTTGGTAGAGGAGTTCGATTTTTAACATATTTTCAAAAGTAATCTAACAATTTTGAATTGGAAGCGTTGGTTGTCAAGCAAGAGTTTACATCTTCTTTTCTTAATAATTAAAGCTGAAACTTATAGTTAAAGAAAAAGCACACACACAAATCATATATACATATAGCATTGTTTTTTTGTTATCATAAAATTTATATTTGTGAAAAAAACTAAACGCTTGGCGTTTTTGTTAGGTTAAAAATGACATTCTTATTACGCAATAACACCATATCAGTAACTGAGTTTCAAAAAAATAATTTTTTCTTTTTGGCTGCAGAAATATGTAGTCTCAAAATGAGGGGTCTTACAGCAAATTAAACAGCAACAGTTTATTTTTTTAACTTCAAAAATTGAAGATTAGCAGGTCTATAACAAACACCGAATAGGTTTAAAAGTTGAGAACTGCCACACACATTTAACACATTTAATTGTTATAGACCTCACGCTTTTAATAAGTATCGTTGGTATTTAAAACTTAAAATATTCGTTAGAAAAAAAGACGGGTTTCATACTGTTTTTAGGCTTACCTTTTTTGCCCTTTCTAAATTATAACAAATTTATATGGTTTTTTTTTATTTATTTCAAATGGTTCGTTTTTATTTGTGTTTTTATGGGGGTGCACTTAGATTTAAGGATAATTAGGTTTAAAATTTGAATAATTTATTTTAGGTTTATTTCATGGCGTTTTTATTTTGTAGACTTTAAATTTTAGTTAATTAGTATTAATTCATTAGATTTTAAGTTTTTATGTACAAGTTTTATATGTATGGTGTATGTGTTTTTTTTTATACAATTTTGTTTTTCACCTTCTTGTTGTGTGTTGTTGAACGTCTTTGTAATTTATTTTAACAATTTTAACTCGTTTTGTAATGTTGATACTTCTTGTTGTTGGTTAGATTTTCACTGTTGTATGTTAATATCAATGTAATTAGATTTGGTTCTCTATTTTATTTTGCACTGACACTTGTCACACGGGGGGAAACTTGTTTTCGCGACGAAAATTAAATCAGAACTAACTATTGTCCAATTTGCATCGTCACATCAAACCAGTTTTGGCTGTTGACGATGCTTATTTATTGGAATTCAGCATTGGAATTTACCGGTGGCTGCATGAATGTATGTGTGTATATGTAAGTGTTTCAATCATTTACATCATTCCGTTTTGATGTATTTTATGCAGCCGCCGGTAAATACCCAACCAACAGTGTTGGGCAAAATTGCGTAAATTTATGAACATTTTCTGGGCCCCGAATGACAAGTGTAAGTATTCATTTGTAGTATACCATAAGAATTCTCGTTCATCCGTTCCTCGGCATATTCTTGATGGGTCCGGCAAACACGTAGCCCAGTTGTGTGTTGTAGGCCAGGACATCTCCAATTCCAGCTGCTGTACACCCTTCTTTTCGTATGGCGGAGTACGTGTCCGCTCCCAGTTCCACATCGATCGGACTATTTCCTCTGGGATCAGGGTCAGCAAGCGCATAGTTCGTAAAACATCTCGTGGGGTCTTCTAATATCGGGTCTGAGTAAATGCGTCTGGGGAGGTCTTCAATTATTAAAGCATTTACCTTCAGACTCCAATCAGAGTTTGTGCGGCGGGGCGAAACGGTGAAGGTGGTGAATCGCTCCCCTTTGTAGCTCCGCGACTGCAGACCCAGGCGACGGAAAGCTGCATACGAGATCTTGGACATCGTCGCCGATTGGCTAACTATGGCTCGCAACATGCTGAACCCCTCCATGCCCTCGGCCGTTATGCGCACCATAGCCGTCGGTACAAATACTAAGTCCCATGCGAAAGCTGGGGTGGTGACGGCTTCTATATTTAGGGATACCTCTTCCAATTGAGACGCCCCGTGCAATAGGGTATGGTGCCGGTAGTTGCATCTCCGGCAACCAGTTAAAGACGGGCAGTCGGGGGCCAAATGACTTCTCGCCAGGCAATTTCGGCAATACCCCCGACGCTCCACGGTCTCATACCGCTGAAAGGGCGTCTGCCGGCGGAACCTCTCACAGGCACTGAGGGCATGGTCTTCTTGGCATAGTCCACATGAATATTGCCAGTAGCTTGGTCTTTCTTGGCGTTGGCGGGGTCTTGCATCGGATCGACTTCGTTGACGTCTTTCAGGGGATGTGGAACTGGGACGTTGGATTGGCCGTAAGGGTCTGTTGGCGCTTCTTGCTGTAGGACGGGCAGATGAGGCTGGGCTACGGCTGCGATCGTCCAGACGGTAGTCCTGGTTGGGCAAGTAAGCGGCCATATCTGAAAGAAAATGAAGGCGAGTACTAAATTCTTTTTTGGGTGTGAATCCGACTAGTCAGTCGGAAAACAATTTGACAATTTTTGTTATGGGTCTGCTAATGTTGCCACTTGCCGTCCGTATGTCTACAACCCTGGTATTTTGATCACTGCCTGGATACGTTTTTTCGATACGACCTAACTTCCATTCATGCGGAGCCAATCTATCATCTTTTACGACAACTAAATCTCCCTCTTTGATATTCTCTTTTTCATATTTCCACTTAGTTCTTCTGTGAAGTTCGTGAAGATATTCTAATTTCCACCTGTTGCAAAAATATTGAGAAATAACTTTGAGTCTTTTCCAACGATTGACTAAGCTTAGATCTGTATCTGAAATGTCTGGTTCAGCTGGGGTAAGGATAGATGTTCCTATTAAGAAATGGCCAGGAGTCAAAGGGGAAAGGTCATTTGGGTCATCGCTAGCAGGACTTAAGGGTCGCGAATTAAGACAGCCTTCAATTCTTGCTAAAATAGTTGTAAATTCTTCAAAAGTGAAATTCATTTTTGGGATGCTTTTTCGTAAATGAATTTTAAATGATTTAACACCAGCTTCCCACAAGCCGCCCATGTGCGGAGCACCAGGAGGAATAAATTTCCAAGTAAGATTTTGAGTGAAGTTGTTTTGAATAGTGCTATTTTGAATATTCTTCATGAAAGCTAATCGATCTCGCTTTAATAGATCAACCGCTCCTACAAAGTTAGTTCCGTTGTCAGAAAATATACAAGATGGACAACCTCGCCGACTTATGAACCTAGAAAAAGCTGCAAGAAAGGCATATGTCGACAAATCGCTTGTGGGTTCTAAATGTATAGCCTTCGTGGCGAAACAAACAAACAGGCACACATAGCCTTTTGTAATAAAGCAGGCTCTTCCTGAATAACTTTTAATGTTAAAGGGTCCTGCGAAATCTACCCCTGTGTTTGTAAAGGGTCGAGAGAGAAAAGTACGTTCGGGTGGTAGCGAAGCCATTATTTGAGTTTGGGTTTGTTTTTTGTGAATTAAGCAGATTCGACATTTTCGTATGGTTTGTTTGATTAGCGATTTGAGTCCAAATATCCAGAATTCGGACCTTAATACTCGGGTCATTAATTGATTACCACCGTGCAAGGTGATCTTATGAGTGAATTCGACTAACAATTTGCTAAGCTTTGCGCCATGTGGTAGTATTATTGGATGACGTTCGCTATATGTAAGGGCTGGCGATTGTACCAATCTGCTATTTGCTCTAATAATACCCTTTGAGTCTAGAAACGGGTTGAGTGTCAATAGAGGACTTGAAGGAGAAATTTGAGTCTTTTTCATAAGTGAGTTGTATTCTTCGGCATATACGAATTTCTGGGTACGAATTATGCAAGATCGTTTTCCATCTTGGATTTCGGCTGCTGTAAGGTCTTGTGATGACGTGCGAAGATGTTGCCTATTTGCTCCAGTATTTTTCCAGAGTCTTAGAGCATATGCGTATGATCGATAAACTTTAGATAAAGAGGAGAAATTTTTTAAAGGGTCATCTCTTTCCGCGAAAAGAGTCATGACTTTTGCCGTTTTGGCTTCGGCGTTTGTGTCTTGTGGGATATCTTGTGTTGGCCAACGGTCTTTTGGCATTCTGAGCCATTGAGGTCCCTGCCACCAGAGTTCATTGGTCTTTAGCTCGGCGGGTGAACATCCACGGCTCGCAATATCAGCTGGATTATTTTCCGAATCGACATGTCTCCAATTTTCTTGTCCAACATTATCAGAAATTTCCGAGACTCTATTTCCAACAAATGTGCTCCAGTGACAAGGAGGCTTTTTTAACCATGCTAAGACGATGGTAGAATCGGTCCAAAATTGTGTCGAATATTTTGATATTTGTAGGCTATTAACAATGGATTTTGCTAACTTGGAGAGTAATACTGCCCCGCATAACTCGAGTCTGGGTATTGACAGTTTTTTAATTGGAGCGACACGAGTTTTTGCTGCTAGTAAGAATGTATGTGTGGTATGGTCAGTATTTTCCACTCTAATATATAGAGTGGCTCCATACGCGCTTTCCGACGCGTCACAAAATCCGTGAATCTCTACAGAACCATCTAGCGTGTATTGAATCCATCGAGGAACTCTGAGATATTCAATATCTTTGCTATTTTTGACAAAATTGTTCCAGTTCATTTGAGTTATTGGTTTTAATTGATCATCCCAGTCAATTTTGTCTAGCCAGATTTGTTGCATTATTAGCTTAGCTACAACAACCACCGGTGCCAGCCATCCACATGGGTCAAACAATTTGGCTATCGTTGATAAAACTTCTCTTTTTGAGGATATATTTTTATTTTCCATAGAAGGTGGTGTGAAAGAAAAATAATCGCCTGAGATATTCCATCGAATTCCAAGGGTCTTAGTAGAAGCATCTTCGGAAATGTCTAGCCAATTGAGTGGTAGTAAATGTTCATGTGGAATATCTTGTATTATTTTGTGATTATTTGACGCCCATTTCATTAGTGTAAAACCGGCAGAGTCTAAAGCGTCAGTTAATTCCTTTCGAGCTTTTATTGATTCATCCTCAGTGTGGCCGCCAGCTAATACATCATCAACATACAAATTATTCAAAATTATATTTGCGGCTCTAGGGTATAATTCTTTTATATCTTCTGCTAGTTTGAGAAGAGTTCTCAATGCTAAATATGGTGCGCAGTTAACTCCAAATGTAACTGTTAGCAGCTCATAATCCTCTACTGGGTTTTCAGGAGACTGTCTAAAGAGAATTCGTTGATATTTTGTTTGCTTTGAATCCAAAAGTATCTGTCGATACATCTTTGTTATATCTGCATTGAAGGCATATTTGAAGAATCTCCATTTTAAAATTTGCAATACCAAATCCTGTTGAAGAATGGGTCCAGGATATAGTAGGTCATTGAGACTTGTTTTGTTTGATGAAGGACAAGAAGCGTTAAATACGACTCTTAACTTCGTCGTGAGTCGATCGGGTTTTATCACAGCGTGATGTGGTAGATAATAATTTGGCATTTTATCTATTTCATTCGGATTGATTTTCCTCATATGACCAAGTTCTAAGTATTCAAGAATTGAGGCATCATATTGTTCTTTGATCTCAGGTGTTTTCATAAGTTTTTTCTCCATTCTGTAGAATTGAGCTAGGGCGATGTTTCGGGAATTCCCCAATTCTTCGCATTTTTTGAATGGGAGAGTCACCACATATCTTCCATCCTTGTTTCGTATTGTTGTTTCAGTGTAGTTTTGTTCGCAAAATTGGTCTTCTTCTGACCGTAAAACTTTTTTAGGGGTCTCTTCCACCTCCCAAAAACGTGTAAGTACTTTTTCTATTGAAGTTGTATTTAGAAGTGATATTTGTTTTCGTTGAAGGGTGCTTCCTGGTATGGGTCCTCCAACTATCCATCCAAATTTGGTTTTTTGTGTTAAAATTGATCCAAATGTTTTCATTGGAGTTCCAATTGTGAATATTAATGGTCCAATGTCCATTCCAATAAGTAAATCGATTGGTTGACTGACGTAAAATTTCGGGTCAGCCAGTTCTAATGCTGTTACATCTCGAAGTTGTGATTCATCTAAGTTTTGCGGTGGCAAATTTGTAGGTAAGTTCTTTAAAACTGGAGCCCAGACTTCCAGTTTAAAGCTAGGGTCGTATTTGGATCTCATAGTAAACAAGCAAGATTTCGTTGAAGTCTCAGAAACAAATTGACTTAAGCCAGTGACATGAACTAAGTTGTTCCGTGTAGGTAACTTCAAAAAGTTTTTCATCTTTTCAGAAATAAATGTGGATTGTGATCCTGAGTCTATTAGAGCTCGGGCATCGTAAAGTTGTCCTTTGGTTTCAATTTGTACTATTGCTGTAAAAAGTAGTGTTCCTCCAGATTGTCGCTCACAAATTTGCTTATCTTGGAGGGTCAAAGTAGTAATAGTAGTTGGTTCTAGGTTTGTAGTGGACTGTATTTGATTTGTAAGAGCGGCAGCACTAGTACTAGGTTGTGCTTCCACTCGAGCTAGGTATGTATTTGTTGTTTGGGTTTCCGTTCCCTTATGTAACAAAGTATTGTGTCGCATAGTACAAATCCGGCAGCCAAAGCGACTTTTGCAATCCTTTACTCCGTGATTTGATGACAAGCAATTGTAGCATATGTGTGATGTTTTCACGATGTGAATTCTGTCATTCACACTCTTTTTCAAAAATTCGCTGCAATCTCTAATGAAATGATTTGATTTGCAGACTTGACATGTTTGAGTATTTTTTGGTTTATTTTGTTGAGGTTGTGATACAGTAGTAGGTCTTCCTCCAAAATTGTTTGTATTTCTTGAGACATTTGTTTGAAATGTTTTCAAAAATCTAGGCGTTTGATTGTTAGTTGGTTTTTGTTGAGCAAATTTCGATATAGAGGGCTTTATATTTCCAACTGATTCCAAAGTTTTGAATTTGTTTGTTAAGAAAGCGTCAAACTGTTTCCATTTTGGAATCTGTTTGCAATCGCTTAATGAGTTCTCGAATTCTTCTAAAAAGCCTCTAGGTAATTTTGTTGAACAAATGTATATTAAAATCGGATCCCATCCTTTAACATCGACATCAAGCATCCCCAGTGTCTGAATGCAGCTATTTACCGTGCGTTGTAGTTTTTGAATTGTGTGACTTGATTCTGTAGAAACTCCAGGTAGATTAAAAAGTGTCTTGATTTCTTCATTAATTTGCATCCGTTTATTCTCGTAACGATCTATGAGATTTTTCCATGCTAATGTAAATCCATCATTTGTTAGTGGGACATGCGAAATAATTTCTCTAGCTTCTCCTGCGGTCTTCTGCGTTAAATGGAATAATTTTTCGACATTGCTTAATTTTGAATTGTTTATGTAAATTGCCGAAAATAGATCTCTGAAAGTTGGCCATTCTCTATAACCACCTTTAAATGTGTCGGTATCGCATGGAGGTAGCCGCGATACATTAGTAAAATCCACTTCCCTTCCTTGTTGTGATATCTCTGACTCTCTTTTCATTTTTTCCTGTGCCTTTTCATCCAAAATATTTTGAATTTGTCCATTTATTGAACTCAGCGCCTGTTTATATGATCCCATGGTATCCATATAATGTTTCCTCAGTTTATTTTTGTCGATGGTTTTTCCTCCTTCCTCTGGAACATAATCACGGCAGTCTAAATATGCCCTTTTGACCTGGTCCCATGCAGAATCCAACTCCATACGTGTTGTCTCCAAAGTATGAACCGTGTCATCCGGTTTGGTTATTGAAAAAATTGAAATATAATCCTGAAGATCGTTGACGCAGTTTGCGAATTTTTCGCTTAGGGTCTTATCCATTTTGATGCCTGAGTATTAACCTTTACCGAAATTTTGTTGTGTTGCAAAAATGAAAGGTAACCCAATGAAAAGGATTGACTTGGAATAAGATTCAAACTTTTATCCAGATTTTTATTTTTAAAAAATAAGGATAAGCTATCTTCTTCAATTTGATCAACGAAATCTATGTTCAATTATTGGTTTGGTTCGAATTATATTTCGTTTTCTTCCCAAAAGTTTCAAAATATTTGAAAAATTTCAACAATTTTCTTTGTATTTGACGCCGGTTTGATTTGATTAAAAATTGTTTGTTGGGTTGCCAAAGGGTCAATTTTTTGCCAAAAGAAGCCGAAAAAGAAAATAAAATCTCTTAAAGTCCACTTACAGGAGGATTTTATTTTTGCAAATCGACAAATAATCCAAAAGTTTTTTTTTTTTTTGTAACAAAATTGTGGAAACAAGAATTGCAAAGACAGAAATTACCAGAGATGTATTGTTACAATAAACGATTTTTTTTCCCAAAAAACAACGAGAGTCTAGTTTGATAATCAAAGAGAAGTTGAAAATTCCAAAAAAAATTCCAGAAAATCCAAAAATATTTTCAACGACGTAAAAATGTGTGTTGGGTTGTCGAACAAAAGTTTCAAAATTTTTACTTAAAATCGCTTAATATCCTATGACAGGAGGATTTTATTTTATAAAAGCCAATAACTTTGATTATTGCTGTGAAAATTTGTCTGATTCAACAAATTTTCTAAATTCGCCAAATTTTTCGATAAAATTCGCAACGAGAGTTAGAGAAAATTATGTATGTATAAATCCAAATATTTCAGCAGAAATATTTCAAACAAATAATTTGGGTCAAAAATCCAAAAATTTGAGCAAA